GAAGATCGTCATCCCATGATTAATCAATATAATATAATCATTATCGTCGTCGTCGTCGTCGTCGTCCATAGTACGATGTTATCACACGTCATACATAATAGGCGCAAATTTGTGATACCTATCTATGTATTATATACCGGGTGATCCATTTAACGAAAGACACTCATTGTTTCAAACACTATTTAAAGTTTTTAAAAATATTTTTTCTCATGACTTGAAATAGTTAAAAAAAAACTATAGTTTTACAGTTTTTTTTTAAATTTAAAATTTTTTTAATTGAAATGTTCATATTTTTAAATTCCTGATTCTAGGATATTTCCAGCAGAATACTTTTTAGAGTACTTAACTGCGACATACAAAAATCGAAGTTTTAACTAGTGGTTTATGAGCTATGGGTTTGTGACTTATAAAATTAGAAGTTATAACCTTATAAGTAATTATTTAAAGTTTTAATGGATGGAGTAGTACAGCGTACAAGGGTACTCCTCAAAATGTTGGACCATTACACCGCTCATAGAAGCTCTAAACACTTACATCATACTAATAAACTATTTGTCTGAAATTTGAATTTTTATCGATCAAAACAGGTACTCCGTAAAATATTCTGCTTCGAAATATGAAATCAAAAATGTATATAATGTTGTCGTTGAATAGAGTGAAAATTTAACTGTTGAGACAACATTAATAATAATTTAAAACGACTTAAGTCTCAACATTTCGTATAAGAAACAGGCATGGATCCAGGCCAAAAATCTGGGAAGGGGGAACAATTTTTTGTTAATGTAAGATGACAACATTGGAATCACTGTCCACCATGAACTATCTTAGTTTGTGCACCCCGGAATGATCCGTATAATAATATATCATATCATCGGACATACATGTAATTTGAAGTATAGTAATATCAGGATCTGTAGAATTGCTAAATACATTTTGGAAATAATGTGTCTGGGGGGTGGCGGCCCCCTACCCTGGGCTCCCCCTGGCTCCGTCCCTGATAAGAAATGTATTCAAAAACGTTAGTGTTTACTGAAATGACATCGAGAGAGGCTTGTGTTAAATGGATCACCCCGTATTTATAACGTACTGTTACAATACAATTATAATACGGACACACGATACATTTACTGATATAATAATAAATTATACGATCGTCGTAACAATAATAACAATACTAATAGTAACACGCTCCGCGGGCGTTCTGTGTGCTGGACAATGCTGTGACTGCCAATGTTAATAAGTAGGCGATATAACAATATATGATATCGCTGGGCTACTACGTATATATAATATGTCGGATTCGCGTATTTGAAATTGATGGCTTTATTAAAATACGCTTATAATATGTATATAATACGCACGTCATCAGAAGATAATGTAGGCACGGTATTATTTTGACACATCGTCTTTGTAGTGTTTCCGAGTGATATAATATTGATATATGACGTTGACGTATCCATCAGTATAATATAATATTATGATGTGCGCGATGCATGTCCGCACGCGGTCCACCGCCGAAGGTCTGTCGTAAAACAACAAAACTATGATATCAAATCAAAACATTTAAATCGAAGTCACATTTTACCCAGATAGTGCGTCACCGACGACGACAATAATCGTGGCTGGATCAAGAAGTTGTGTTCGGAGTCTTAAAAGTTTTACTAATATATTTACATAGGTATATTATGGAAAATATTTTGAACAATCTTAATCGGCATACAAACTCGTTACGACCCCGGGTAACTCTAAATAAACTGAGACGCACTCGGCTGGGTAAAAACATGACCTTTTTTTTTCTCGGGACTCACTCATCTGCGACGAAACTCCCCGTCACTTGTTCAAAAGGTGCTATAAGAATAGTGCGATATGATGCTGCGGGGAAACGGAACAGACTATATGATTCACGTTGTGGAATCGTGCCCTAAGTGGATGCCAGAACAAGGGACCAATGGGCAATGGGTAGGTTTTATTATAATCAATTAAATAATAACAATATGGTTTTACTAATATAATATCACAGATTAAATTATACTATGTTATTATTATATAAATTATACCCACAATATTTATTATTTAACTATAAGTGTGATTTATAGAGCGAGGATTCGGGATTCTAATCATTCTGATAATCGGAGCAAAATGTTGCTGTCATTTTGGAGGTAAGAAGGTGTTTATTGAGCGTAGTGTTTAGTAAGTTTGATATTTCAGGGGGGGGGGGGCATCCAGCACGTATTTCCATGGTGAAGTTATAAGGAAGCGTTTTGGGTGTTTAAACACCCTCCCCCCATCGGTTGTGTGTATGCAATAACAAATAAAGGGATTTATGTAGAATATGTCTTTAATTCATTATCATAAATATTGAATAAATACACTTTGGTATATAACAGGCCTGTCAGACTATTTTCCATTTTCAAAGTATTTTAAAATTTTTAAAGTTTTACAAAACTGTACAAAATTGTATTAGTTATCTATAAACCTTGGAAAGTTGGGACGGTCATGAAAAAAGGAAACATCGTAATTCGGATCGCAATCGTCTCGGGGAGTCTGAAATTTGAATATTAATTAAAAATGAAAATCGTATATGACAGTGCTATCTACCGATGAAACTGAGCATTGAAAAATTCAGTGAAAGGCGGCTGTAGATGACGCTCCAATATCTATAGTTGAAAATTTAAATATTGTAAAACTAACGTACAAATACAGATGTAGCTTTTAACTTAAAAAGCTTATTAAATGTTTGATAAAAGAAAAATGTACACTTATAGGTACTAAAGTTAACAGCACAAGTTTGTTCCAATTGAACGAAAGCTTGGTATGACGCGTGTGAGTCTGAGAGGGTAAGCAAATATTATAGTGCGCTAATAATTGATATCCTCTTGACCCTTGCAGATGATTTTATTAAAAATGTTGATGAATTAAAATTAGAACAAATAGTTGTTCATAGGTATTTCAATTTATGTACTATATTTAATAATATAAATTTAAGGGCGATAGTCTATGATTATAGGCTTACCGCTTATAACTATTTATTTAGGTGTGGTAGCAGAAATCCAAAGCGACTTTTACATTTTTTTTTTTGTATATTTTATTATTACCATAATGAATACACGGCGATCAGGATAGGCAACACAATATTATAGAAGTTTAATATTTTCGGTTTATTTTAGTTATCTAGCTCATTGTTGAAATATTTACATTTGAAATACGATATTGTTGATATTATGTTAACTTTAAAGTATAATCATAAAAACAAAAGTGTGATCAGAATTTGTGATGAAAGTACATTTTTAAGATCTAATTATTTTTTATTAATAATATCAGGGATCTAAGATATATAGCATGATGAGGTTAATGGCAAACTTGTATATATGGAAATTATATGATCATTTTGCGTTGGGCTTGCTCTTTAAAAGTCCATATACATGTGAGTAATAAACCAGTATTTATAAATATATATAGTATATATATATATATATAGTTCTAACACTGTACATTTAACAAAATGTATGGTTATGTAAAACATGAACATAATAAACTCAATTACTTCATTTGAGTGGGCAAGGTGGGGAGGAAATCTTTTTCCTTTGCAGTCTGATTTTGAAACAAGCGCAAACGGCCAATGTTTGGTGCAAAAAAAAATATAATTTTTATAATTTTTAGGAAATATAATACCTTGAGTAAGGTAGGTACTTAGTATAGTACTTAGTAGTAAGGTACTGTAGGGAATTGTAGTCAAAATAATGTACTGGGTGAATTGTTAAGCACGATCACACTATTTTTATGTTTATATGATGTATGTATTAATAATTTTTATTTTTGGAATTTTTAAATTTAGTTAAAAATGATAGTATTTTTGAATACTTAAATTGTCGTTAATACTTAAGTTATATCCTACTACTAGTAGTAACAACTTTGGTTTTTCAAAGGAGAACCTACATGTTTCAGAAGATTTTTCTGAAAATGTTAACGTTTATTAATTATTGTAATCGATATTTGGATATTTGAACTAAAAGTTTTTGCATCACTTTACTTAAAATTATTTTAATTAAATAGTAAGGAGTCTTGTTTCAATATTTTCAAATTGGTAAATGAACAACTAAACAGTAAATGGCCAACAGTGCACCTTGACGATAACCATGTTGGAATTTTTAGTGGAAACAAACGTCATATCGTAAGTATTGTTGTATTTCATACTTTCATTCATTTCATATGATGAAATATAAATATTTATATCTTATAAACGGACATAGCCAAAATAAAAATAATAATAATTTAATAATTCTCCAACAAGCAATATTAACAAGATGCATTAGAATAATTATATCATTTTTGTCTGATCACCTCCAAAGCCGAAGGCTTATGATTCATAAGATCACCACTAGCAAAAATTGATATACAAAGGGGAGGGGGAGGCAGGAGCCCAAATTCTACGAAATTGTTAAAGCATTGTTGAAGTAGATACCTAATAATATTAGGTTAATGATATCATCTAGTCAGAGGCGTAATTCGGTCGATGTTTTACATTTTTGAGTGGACAATTTATATGAATACTCTATAAGTACCTCTTTCTATGCATCAATTATATAATGTAACATTTGTCTGAAGGAATAACAAAAAAAATAATTTATTTAGTACCTACCTATTATATATCTATATTATCTGCAGAGTAACTAAATTTTGTATCGAGACAATTAAAAACAATAACAAATATAAATATATATAACAATAATAATGTACATATTATAATTTCAGTGTAAATAGGTACACCCAAGCGGGATGTTGACTGTTGATCGGACCAAAAGAATTAACACGTTGTTATATTTTTTTAAATACTCGTATTTTAACGATCAATTTATTTTAGAATAATATCGATAATACATTTAAAAAGTAATAAATTATTAAATATAAATTATTTGCTTATACTTTTGTGTTCAGTATTTTCTTTATCCGCAAATCGTACGCATAAAATATCGTTACCGACTGTTGAAAAAAGAATATACCAAAAGGGCACAAAAAATTATATGAGAAATGAGAATTACATTACGCATTTCATAATAAATAACTTAATAATAATGTTGATTGAACAATACAGACAGATACAATTCTTGTTTGTTTTTGGGTTGTTTATTTTTTCAATGGTCGAGTCTCCATTTACTTATCATCAATTACTGTGCATCTAGGCTGATCGTCCGCTAATAAAAATATATAAATGCTCACATTATTGATGATATATAATAATTATCACTAAGCTTGACTTTTATATTATTTCAATTTATAGAATAAACTGTATTAATATTAAAAATGTAAAACTTAGGTAAGGATTTAAATAGTTATCTGTACTATTTAGGTCCCTTGTATAGGTAGGTAATTAATAAATTTATCTATTGGTTTGACTTACCAGTTTGCTCTTTGACTTGGCAAACACTTTTGGCTGACTATATCGTAGCTGGTAGCATGTCCACAGTTGAGGATGTTAGTGAATCCGTTGCGGCAGAGGGTCACCGAAGAACAGTCTGGTGTAAGTCGGTAAATACTCTTGTGACTACAACGCACGCCGGTATTTACCATGCCTGTGGAATAAAATGTAGATATTAATTTTATGCGCTTGTTTAACGGCGTGTACAGTAATATTATTACGAATGCGTACTTGGTGGTATTTTTCTTAAGTTGTAATTGTAAATGGCTATTGGGTCGGCGACTGGGGCAACAGCGGTGGACGTCGACGATGTCGGAACGATTTCAGTAGCTGGTGAAGACTCAGCCGAAGACAGCGGAACATATGGAGTAGTGGACGATACTTCGGGGGCATATGTGGTGTTGACTTCGGTTTCAGTAGCCGTTTCAATTGGTTCAGGGTTGCTCGGCAATCCGTTGCAGTTCACACGGTATGGATAGTCACAGATTTTCAAATCCTAAAAATTATTTTAGTAAATAAATGAATAAATAAATAAATGGATAAATAAATAATTTGTTTTGTCAATTGTGTACTTCGTTGTAATTTGTTCCACCGGGGCAAACAAAATCTACTGGAGATCCAGCTACACAGACATAGAAAGCTCCGCAATTTTCCTTACTACGGTACGTTCCGTAACCGTCTGGACATTTTGTGTTATTGCCGTTTTCAGTCCCCACTAAGAAAGTAAAATGTAAATTTAAATTATTATACGTTGTATAATACCTAATACCTTTATTTATCATTAAAAAAAAATTATTTTTACCTGTTATAGGCTTAGAGCCACAATCTACATTTGCCGGATAGTCACAGTATCGTTTGTCTGGGTTAAATACCAATCCTGCGGGACACGTCTGTTCGACTGCAGTTTCATCCCAACAGTTTATGAACTTGTTGCAAGAACTTTCACTCGGGAATTGTCCTCTGGGTTCCTTACATTGAGCTTTTAATGCGTCTGTCGATGGTGGTCCAGTCGGTGAAGGAGAATCAGGATCTGGAGAGTATGTGGATCCTGGACTAGTAGTGACTTCTGGTTCTTCTTCAGGTGCTTCAGAACTAGGTTTTCCCGGATAAGTTGGTTGATCAGTGGAAGTTTCAGATGAAGTTTCTGGTTGCACGGTGGTTGGTACTTCTCCTGGTTGACCAGGATATAAAGGTACTCCTGGCTGCTCGGGTTGTTGTGTTTCAGGATATGTCGGGATCACTTCTGGTAGATCTGTAGAGGCTTCTGGTTTGGAAGTAATATACTCCGGAGCTTGAGTGATTTCTGGAATTTCAGGTTCAGAAACTCCTGGTGGTGGAGTTCCCGGCTCTGGTGCTGGCGTAGACGGTGGGTACTCTGGTGCTGGTGTAGATGGTGGGTATTCTGGTGCTGAAGTAGATGGTGGGTATTCTGGAGCTAACGTAGATGATGGGTATTCTGGTGCTGGCGGAGATGGATATTCTGGTGCTGGTGGGGATGGATATTCTGGTGCTGGTGAAGATGGGTATTCTGGTTGAGAAGTTGCTTCTCCAGGTGTTTCCGGTTGTGATGGGTTTCCCTCTGATGGTGCAGAAGTAGATAATTCTTGCTCCTCAGAAACTGGACTCGGGGCAGGTTGTGGTGGATACAATGGTTGTTGTGGGTATGGTGAAGGTTGAGGATACGGAGACGGTTGGGGATATGGTGATGGTTGAGGGTATGCAGGTGGTGGATATGATGGTGGTGGATAAGATGGTGGTGGATAAGACGGGGGTGGATATGATGGTGGCGGATAAGATGGTTGTGGGTAAGAAGGAGGCGGGTAAGATGGTTGTGGGTATTGCTGAGGAGGGTATGACGGGTATGGGTATGACGGTGGAGGGTAATATCCGTTAGCTGGGACCTGGATCCATACACTAGATGGTGGTTGTCCGGAAGGTTGTGATCCTGCAGGTGGTGATACTTGTTGACCATTTACAACTGCAATTTGCCATTGTTGAATTTGTTGACGCATATATTCATCAAACTCACTTCTCTGTTTGTCTTGAACTGGTTTCGAAGATTCTGAAAAATAAAAAAGGTTTAAGAAATAAATATATGTGTATATTGAATAATATTATATCATAAATTATTCCGAAATAAAAATATTAATCTGTACCAAAAAATATATAAACATTAAACAAGTTATCTCATTTAAATTAAGAAACTAAATGGATATAACTGTATTCACAAATATATAGGTATTATGTATATTAGACATTAAGCCTATTTTTGTTTACGCCAATTTGCCGTTCATTACAACCGGTCTATAACAAACGCTAGACCATACGTTAGGAACAGGTTTTCATTCGGCAAAATAACCTCACTATAATTTATATTTTAATTCCACTGTACTTTAAATAACAAATCTTACAAAAATGACATCAGACTAATATAATATAGTACCTATACATGTTTTTGCAGTCCCGAGCAAGTTGTTTTTCGGTTAAGAAACTTGTTTGGGAAAACACTGAATGCGGATTGACCGTAATAAATCAGTTTCCGATCCTAAGTAACACGTTGTCACATACATTTGGAGACGCTACTAATCATTTAAATTTACGAAGCTGCAAAAACACTACATTTTTAATCAAGATTTAATCAAAAATAAACGTTTTCGTTTACCAAAATCTTAATAGGTACTTGTAATAATAATAATAATAATATCCCGAATCCCAATAGATAGTTTTTTTTAATTAAAACTGTAATATACGTATTTGAATGATTATTATATTTCCAAACTAGACAAAGATTTTAGGAAGTTTGATGGATTAAACAGTTCAACAGTTGTGTACATGTGTAGAGAAAATATCGATGATCATGATTGTTTGCTAACGGTTTCCGTTCCTACGCATTTATTATTATTATTATTATTTTATCGCGATCATTCGATTATTGTTATTGGGTATCTTGTATTTTTTCTTTGGTCCTAGTGTTGTTTTCGAACAGGTATATAATATAAATTATATACATGCGTATTTGTGAAAATCCTGTTGACATTTTGCCACATTCTTATAACGGCCTAGGGACGTTGAACCTTGACCACTTGAAATCTCACACGTAAGTGGTTTTCGATAATTCTTTATGTTTTTTATTTATTTATTATATTTTTTATCATCATCTTGGATATAAATTCAAATGGTTGTAATGCAAGCTAAAAATGTATATGAATAAATAAAAGTAATAGCCGAAAAAACCAAATCACCGTATAACGTAGTAGGAACTGGTTTTCATATAAAAAGGAACTATGTGTATAATATACCATGCATACCAATATACCATACAGAAATTTATTATATATTACACCACGGAGACGATCGGTTGTTTTGACTCAACCGCTACGATATTAAATCTCGCCCGCCTCATGTGGTCTCGCGGAGTTTGCGCGGATTTGCCATATACGCGCAGGGTGCTCACTTACTCGTATACCAGAATCTCGAAACAAATTCGTCAGTTAACACAATAAGTGGTACCTTTGGACATTGTGGTTCTCGGGCCGTACATACTTGAGTAAACCACGGATGTACCTAATATGGCAGAGTAGGTACACGCCGGAGTGTGTAAATAATCGAGTGTGACGACTCGTTTACTATAGACATTCACTAGAGGTACTTTGTCCGCGAACTTTAACTGTTCAGTTCGTTGGACTGACGAGGTCTCGTTAAAAATACATTGAGAAGTGCATATTATTTACTATTATCAATTATTATTAGACGTTCAATTTATTATTATTACATAAAAACTGCATTGTTGAATTGCATTTAATTTGAATATTACCTATGGTATCCAATTCAGTATGTAAAAAAACGCAATGACGTTTGTTATTTAAGATGAAATTGAATTACACATCAAATCATTTACATACGTTTCATATCAATTATTGTTTATTTGCGTGAGTAGGTATAATAAAAAGATATGAAACGTGAATTTATAGTTGAAAATTAAAATGTGTATAGGTTATTGTGTACCTAAATAAATCAGAGGAGTTATTGCGAATTTATAATCATTTTTAATTACCATAACTCTTAGCGCATTCGTGTTGGGATTTATTTATCGGATGTGAAGCGTCTATAATAATGATTATTTATACGTCTTATATACCAGTTTTTCTGCACGACAACATAAATATGTTATTTAAGTTGCCTATTCAGTTGTCCTTAATGGCTTGAATGCAAATATACCGTTTTATCTCCTGTGTACAAACGAGTGTAGAAAATAATATTGGCAAGCTACACAAGAAAAACAGACAGCTTGTTAAAATTATAAAACTTCGATATTATGAGTGAGAATTATATTTTCCAAAATTAACTCTTTGTAATTATTTACGGTGAACGCGATAAAAACTATACATATTTAATGTACATTTTATACAAATATATTCATACCTCGTGATAAAAACTAAAAAGCTTTAAAAGTAATTCAAGTCTAATAAATAACAAAAAGTAGTAGTAGACCACGTAAGAGTTTTACGTATAATAATAAATTACTATAACACGACGAGTAAAATCAGTATAGTAATGTAGGAAATCGCAAATAATGATCGTGGAACGGTCGTTTTAGTGTTTGATAGTGAAGTGAAAATCCATTTGAAAATATGTTCAAACCGGTATCCATGCAGTACAACAATAACGGCAAACTGAGCCGGAGGTCAAAATTAATTTTTTTATAATATTATATTGACATAATACATTTAGACAAACCGAATATTCTACAAACGCGTCTTTTGTAACACGAATAAATATTTTCATTATTGATTATTATTGAAAAGCCGGCCGTATTTATACTGGCCGAGTCGTATAGGTACTAGCGGTAACAACAATATTATATTAACAGTAATAATAATAATAATAATAATAATAATAATAATAATAATAATGTGGTAGTTGTAATAAATAAAGGCTACTGGGCAAACCATATTGTGTAGTAATTACAACGGTAAAAAACAAGACATATATAGGCAGATCCACAGAAGAAACCTACGTATTATATCACATGTATACCGCAGTATATGTTTATATTGTTTTTTAAATCTCCGTCGGAGCTTGTTGCTTATATTATTTATTATCGGACCATCCAAAATTGATTGTATATGTATATAACGTGAATCTCGTTTCGGCGTGTAATTTATTTCAAAATCATTAGCATATCGTAATGTAACTGCAATCACGATAATGCGTTTAACGGCCTACGGGACTGATTTATCATGAATACGACACACATCATACTACATTATAGGTACCCATACTAATATACTATACATATATGGTCTGACAGCGCATGTGTCACTAGTGAGAATAACTTAACTTAAGCTACAAGTTACTGAAACAAAATGACTTTGAAAACGTGATTTATAAGTAATTTAAGTTACTTATTTGAAGTAAAATTCCTTCATTCCTTCATTAAAAAAAAATATATATACTCCAAAAACCAGCTGATAGCATGTAGGTACATATTATATATTGTAATTATATCACATGATTACTATTATCTGACAGTAACAATGCATTGCACGGATAAAGAATAAAATGTGTTTGATAGACAACATTATTATTGTTCTTAAACAAACATTTTATATAATTTTATATTTTTGATTGTCATTAGTTGGTTAATGCTGATACTGACAACATAATAATTAAAATACAGTGATATTTTTGAAAAAAATAATAGTATTGTACCTTTACCAAAAACAAAAAAGTAGTAACTTAAGAATGATTGTATAACAATTTTGAAAGATATAGTGTATTCGTGATGTAATTTATTTAACAAAAAAAAAGAACTACCCAACACTGGTTGCGAGCATTTTTTCTACTTGGTCACCCGAGCTCATGTCACTGTCGTAAACAATGACGTGGAATGCAACTCAATTCTATCAACTTATACTCTGTGCATCAGCTGCAGTGGTGGGAATCTAAATCCTTTCTTTCGATTCTAATCGTAAACGCACGCCGAGTGTGACACAGAACAAAACCACTGATACATAATAATAATAATATAGACGTATGTCATTTCGATATTATAATATTATTATAATACGATAAACCGGGCTGCACATGCGTTTAATAGGCGCACGCGGCGACGGTGGGTGTATGTAGATCGAGACGAATAATGCGCACCACCAGCGGCGAATTTCCCGCTGCAGCGGACGCGTCAGATTTGCATTTAAAAAACAAAACGAAATTCCGTGAGCCCGGCTTTACCGCGATCTTATCGGCCGACGGCACACCCGTGCGCGTATTATATTATATTATTATTATATAGGTAGGTACCTATACTATCATCGAAAATATTCGAAACACACGCAGACGCGCTGTTTAGCATAAAATATATGTTAGACGCCGCCGCCCGCGTCGCCGGGACGCTGACGCGGGAGACGCGCAAACGACGATAATATTATAATAGAAAAATAATATAATATTATTATCATTATTATTATACAGGTAGGTAGGTGGCTCCTATAATATAATATAATATATTATGGCGTACGATGGGCATTATGTATAGCTAGGCACTTTGTCTACTCGTATAATATAAATTACGATTTTATGTTCGTATTTTACGAAAAGAAATACGTATTTTCACTAATCGAACTGGAAGGAACCATGTGTGTAGCGCGAGAGAGATAGTCAGAGAGACTCATTCTAGAGAGAGACAGAGAGAGCGAGAGGGACTCATTAGAAAGAGGGAGAGACAGAGACCGCCTCGGAGAATCGTTAACAGATTTTTCATAAAACCTACACGCGTGTGTACAATGTAATATACCGCCAAAACGCCCAAAACTCGAATTCGTTTTACGCCGCCGTACCGGAGGTCCGTCAAGTAATTTCGGATTTTACTATTATCTACGTCTATAATTTTAATTCTCGGGTTCGGCCCGCAGTCTGCCGCGTCCGTTCGGAACAGAGATCGTATTATATTATAGTAGTATAATATTATAATGTATAATTCAATAACTATATTCGTGTACATACCTACTACACATAGCTGCGACCGTGTAGGTCGTATATAATATGATACCTATGCCTACG